AACAGAAGAGGCCAAGATTGGAAGAGCAGGTGGGGGAGTAGGACCTTAGGTCAGATATGAAAACACTTACATAGAGCTTGACAAATTTTTCATTGTGTTTGTAGCACTTTTAATATGTGATTATACTTAATAAAATAATAAATAGTTGCTCAAATTGCCTGTAGCATAATAGAAAAAAGTATGAATAAATGCTGTAATAGGGTTTTATGAACTATAAACCTTGTTATTAAAAGGATTATATTTTGTGTTCCAGGCCTTCAGAGTAAATCAGGTACTTTATAGTTGAGTTTTCCTTTATGCTCTTGACCAAAGCTTGATTGTGAGATACTATTAGTTTGAAATTCAAGTTTTTAAAATATCAGTTCTAGAGGCTGGAGAGATGGCTCAGTGGTTAAGAGCACTTACTGATCTGGCAGAGAACCTGGGTTCAGTTTTCAGCACCCACTGGCTGCTCAAATTTGTCTTTAACTCTAGTTCCAGAGGATCTGATGCTCTGCTCTGGTCTCCATGGACTCCATGCACACATAGGTACACATCCATGCAGGTACCCACACATATACATAATCTTTAAAAAAACTCGTTTATATTTTTTTATATTAGGGATTATGTGTATGTGTGATAGGAATGTGAGACAAGCACTCTTCTACCACTGAATTATAGTGGTAATTACAGAAGTGTCCCTAATTCTGCATCAGAGATTTAAGACTTTATTTTGAAAAAAGAAATTAGTGGAGAATCTAAGAGTTGTTCCTTCTACTTCCCCCACATTTATCATTTTTGCCATATTTGTCATTATCTAGATAAAATTTTGTATATTTTTTTTTGTGTGTTTTGTGTGTGTTTTTGTGTGCTGTTGTGTGTGTGTGGGTTTTGGGTTTTTTTTCTCTTTCCACCATGGGGACTGAACTCATTGTATTTACCTGCTGAACCATCTCACTGGCCCTATAAACATGCGCTTTTCTTCTGGAAGTTTTGCAAATGTTTTACTTACTGTTCTTTACTCCTGAATGTCGGAGCTTATATTTTGTAGGTCCATGGCAGAATCTTGCCTATAGAAACACAGTATGATCAAGTTCAACGTTAATGCAAACACAGTACTCTCATCTAATTTGCAGTCTGTATTAGTTTTGTCATTTGTCCCCAAAATGCCTTTAGTAACTGTTCCATTGGCCTTCATCTGCGATCCAAGCAGGATCATGCATTGTGTATAAGTGTTACACCTCTTGTCTCTGATCTGGTACAATTGCTTAACTCTCCTTTGCCTTTCATAACAGTAACATTAGAATACCAGTGGAAAAAAGGCTGAAAATTGTTTTTGTAAATCTCCACTTGGCTTTTCTTTCTTTCTCGCCTCTGCCTCTTCCTGTTTTCTTTTTTCTTTCAAGTTTTTGAGACACAGTTTCATTATGTAGCTGGCTGGCCTGAAGCTCCCTTTGTAGACCTGGCTGGCCTCTAGCTCAGAGATCCACCCGCCTCTGCCTAGTGTTGGGACTAAAGGTGTGTGCCGTCACACTGGCCCTGGTTAGTTCTTTATAATTCTGCTCTTTTCTTTTGGGGCATGCTGCTGTATTTTAAAGAGGCTGCTCTTAGCTTTTCCTAAATGTGGTGTAAATGATCTCTTGTTCGATTCAGTTGCCAGAAGGAAAACTTACATAGACTCTAGCTTTGTTTTAAAATTGGGTTGAGTTTGTCAAGAAGGGACAGAAACCAGCTCAAGATGTTACTATTAGTCTGTGTTCATGGCAGGGGCTGGTGAATCAGAATGGCACCTTGGGCCCTCCCACAGCTTCCCCACTCGCTTCACTGAGTGGCTTCGTTGTAAGTAAGGATTACAAAGTGAGTTAGAATGTTTACCAGAGAATTTGGTGGAAACGGGTAGAATAATGGGCTGGAATGGGCTGTGACTTTGGAGTTGGGCTTCTCTCTTTTGTTCCTCAGTGGTGCTTGTTACTGGGTGTGTATTCTTTGTCAGTAAATTCATTAACTTACATGATGGTAACATTTTTGATGTTTAACATACCTGAAAAAAATCTTTTTGTCCCCCCACTTCTATGAGTATGTGTATGTGCGTGCGTGTAAATGTATGTGTGGGGCTTGTGTACATTTACCTGTGCTTCTACTTGTGAGGCCAGAGCAGGACTTGGGGTGTCTTTCTTTTTCATTCCCTGCCTTATTCTTGAGAGGCAGGGTCTCTTATTAAACTTGAAACACCACCCGCTAGAGACTCCAGGGATCTGCATGTTATGCCTCCTAACTCCATGCTGTGGTTGTTGGTCCATACAGCCTTCGGTCTAGTTCAGATCTTTCCTCTCTGAGCCATGTCTCCAGTTTCACTGTTGTTGGTTGGTTGGTTGGTTTTGTTTTTGAGACATGGTCTTATGTACCCCAAGGTGGCCTCAAACTTCTCTATGTAGTCAAAGATGGACTTAAACTCCTGCCTCTACCTTCCTAGGGCTAGGATTACTGGTGCACACTAACATGCTCAGGTGCCAAGGTGTCTTGCTATGCTGCCCAAGCTGGTCTCAAAACTCAGGGCAAGGAATCTTCCTGCCTCAACCACCTGAGTAGATGGGACTGCTGGCATGTGCCACCACACCTAGCTCTAGGTGTGTGCTTTAGACCAAGATGTTTTAATCATAGAGGAAAATTCACATAAAATGGAAATAATAGCTAGAGTGCAAGTTGTTTTGCAAGCATTTAATATATGCAAAATGCAAGGATAAGATATAAGATATGGAAAATACATTAGACATAAGATATGTAAAATGGCACAGTTAGTACTCAGTACATGGTTGTTTTGTTTTTACAGAGTTGTGAAATGCCAGTGCTAGAAGAGATATTCGAAATCACTAGATAAACTGAATATGGTGGTAACCCCTCCACACCTTAATCTCAGCATATTGAAGAGGGGAGAGGAGGACCAAGAGTTCAAGGCCAGTCTGGGCTACATGAAATCTTGTCTCCAAAAACCAAACCAGAAATCACCCAGATAATGAAACTTGTTCAGAATAGTTAAGTGACAGTATTGTCCAGTTAAGAGTTTAAGCTTGTTGAGTAGAAACTCTTAAGATCTCCTAACTTGGTAGAGTTTAGATATTTCTGTACATACATTTTAAATATGCAAATTCAGGTATGTTAAAACATCAAGGGCTGGAGAGATGGCTCAGTGGTTAAGGGCACTGGCTGCTCTTCCAAAGGTCCTGAGTTCAATTCCCAGCAATCACATAGTGGCTCACAGCCATCTGTAATGAGATCTGGCACCTTCTTCTGGCCAAAAGGCATACATGCAGACAGAACACTGTATACATAATAAATAAATAAGTCTTTTAAAAAAACATCAACTACGTTACCATTATGTAAGTTAATATATTTACTGACAATAAAGTTTTAAAATATACACTTTCTGAAACTGTTAGTGAAAAATGTATTTTCATGCTTGTTCTATTAATAAATATGAAGCAAAGAGATAAAATATATATTTCATATATATTAATATATAAAAGATATGTAGTATGTTATGTACAAAGGGTATATATTATTAATATATAAGATATATATGTGATTTCTAATCTTTCTGTTCAGTACTGAGAATGCTGTAAAGATGTTTTCATGTAACATACATTGTCATATTCAGATGTTACTGTGTGGCAACTGCTTTATTCATCATAAGTATTTTCAGTCGTCTTCTTTGGCTGCTATGTGCACATACAGTATCTGAAACAGTGGACTTACAGCTTTTTAGTTTTTCTCTTGAGCACCTAATTAGATGAATTATATTTCATGATTTTATTCTTTTATCGAAGACTTTTGAAGGATCAGAGGGAACTTTTACATATACAACTTTGGGTGTTGCTCCTGGGAGATGTCCACCTTTTTTTTTGAGACAGGGTCTTTCACTGGGACCTTGGTCTTGCCAACCAGGATAGGTTGGCTGGCTGGTGCTGGGATTACAAGTGTGAACCATCATACATGGCTTTTTTATGTGCATGCTGGGGGTTAAGTTCAGGTCCTTGTGGTTATTAGGCAAGCAATTTCCCAACTGAGCCATCTCCTCAACCCCTTATATACATTTTGGTAGAGCAGAAGCTTATTTTTATCTTGCAGTTATAGAAGTCCAGTGGGTCATTTTTAAAATCAAAGATGTATTTGAGACTGTGTTTTACTATTCTAGTATCTCATACACTGTGGCATTCAGTCAAGAAATAATTTTACTTTCAACTCATCACTTATTTTTAACTATGTGAAAAGAAAAAGGTTGAAATATATAAGAAAGGTGGAGGAATGATAGAATTCCTCATGACAGAGGTTAGCTAGCTTTTTTGTAAATAACTTCGGACACTTAATCTGTGTTCTTTGGTCAATGGGATGTGAGCCAGATTTGCCATTGCACTGATGTGTAATCTTCATAGAGCAGTTTTCTGTTATGTAATCTTTTTTTTTTTTTTTGTTTCCGGGGTTGAGACAAAGTCTTTCTATGTAGCCCTGGCCATCCTAGAACTCACTCTGTAGGCCAGGTTGGCCTCAAACTCACAGAGATCTGGGTACCTCTTCACCCCACATACTGGGATTGAAGGCACGTGCCACCATGCCCAGCTGCAGTTATACCATCTTTAAAGGAAATGGAAAAAGGAGACTAGAGACATGTTCTTCATGGCCGCCTTTTATTAAACAGAATCTGGAACTCACACTTTTTAGATTTGTCCATAATGGTAAAAGAAGGAAATGGGGAGACTTGTGTTAGAGAGAGCATAGTGTTCAAGTCCAAGGACAGCTGGTGTGGGTTTCCTTTATCAGCAGAGTTCCAGCACTGAGCCCGAAGTGGGGAGCAGGTCTTAGGTCCAGAGCAGCTGTCATAGAGAGCAGACCAGGGCACTGAAGTGAGTCATCTCTTAGTTATCAAAATCATAGAGAAAAACCTAATACCTCTTAATATGTTAAGTCAGGGAGAGAGAGAGTCCTCAAGCTAGTTTGAATTTGTAGCACCTGTAAATTTCTTTCAGGAGAAGGAAGCCAGCACCCGTTTGGAGCCATGAACATTGTGCGGACCCCATCTGTTGCTCAGATTGGCATTTCGGTGGAATTGTTGGACAGTCTGGCTCAGCAGACTCCTGTGGGCAGTGCTGCTGTGTCCTCGGTTGACTCATTCACGCAGGTAAGGCATACGTGTTTCATTCCTCTTTCTGCCCTCCCCCCATTATGGTGTAGTGACAAAATTGTGCATCTTTATGGTGTTTAAGATAATGTTTCCATGTATGCCTGCTTTGTGGAGGAACTAAAGCCAGGTACCATGCCCCTGATGTCACATTCTTCCTTGTGTAAGCATACTTGAGATCTGATGTCTTAGCAGAGTTCAGGTATACTTTCAGTGTTTAGTCTTCTGTTGTACATACACTCTGTATGCCTTGACCATCACCTCCCCTTGTCCCCAAACCCTTGACAGCCACCATCCTCCTGTCTGCTTCTGTGAGTTCATACACTTTTTGAGCTTTTAAATAAAGGACTTATACTTTTATTGAACATTTTACTTTGAAATATTTTAGGCACATAAAGTACAGAGAATAAATTAGCTATTGCACAGATTTTTATTATGTACTTACTCAGTGTCAAGCATTTTTAAGTCCAAATAGATACAAAGTAACACCTGCCCTAAAATAACACCTGTAGACAGAATAAAATAACACCTGTCCTCGTAGACAGAATAAAGGACCACCTGTCTTCGTAGATGGAATAAAATAACATCTGTCCTTGTAGACTTTTAAAAGCACCACCCCCTGATTTGTTACATTCTCTTATATCTACTAATTTCTGGGTTTCTCCTCGTCTTTTGCATACATTTTTGTTTCCAGTTCTAATTTGTGCCCAGAGTCTGCAAGTATAAATCGTAGCACTT